TCTTTTTACTTTTCATTTTTCACGTAGATAGTTTGATAATAATGGTCCAGCCTGGGTCGCAGAAAGTATCGATCCTAAAGTTCGATACTCGATCAATATTTTTTTTTTCCAGCTCGTAGTTTCGTTCAAAAAAAAAAGCTTCACTGGAGCATCCCGGTCAGAGGCAGGTTCAGATATAAACACTGAACTAAAGAAGCAGGTCAGATAATTATTTAATCGGATCTGATTAAACAACAACTTCAGATTCGATGTGCAAAATGTAGCATCCATGCTAGCTGTGTAAACAAACAAGCCGGCTGATGAGACGTCACGTCTTTTACTGCGCATGTGTGTCACATCAGTGCTGTGGAGCGTTCACACAGGGGTCTGATGCAGGTCACATTTAAAATGTAGTAATGTGAACGTTCACACAAAAAGATCGGATTTTTTCAAAAAATTGGAACTGAGCATTAAGACCTGCAGTGTGAACGTAGCCTTAGATGCAAAGAAAAAATGAACCCGTTATAACATGTTTGTGCACAAGTCTCTGCCACTGTGTCAACTGTCTAACACATGAAATAAAAGGATAGTTTGTTTTTGTAAAACGGTATTCAAATTGCTGATGTTTTGAAACTATCTCTATTAGAACTATCTGAATAAAAACACAAGGAAAACAAAATGTGTTGTCCAGTTGAGTGTATTTCTTGATTCTGAGCAGTCCCAGGCAGACTTTAGTGATGTTATGACTTGGAGCTGTATGGCACAGCAACTCAACGCCTGTTCAGTCATTAATAAGTCAGTACCTACAGTCTGCAGTATCAGGGCATTATTTAATCAGCATGAAAGTAGTGGTGAGTGAAATTAGATCTTGTCCTTCTCCCTCTCTGTGTGGCCAGAGGCAGCAGGAGGAGAGGTGATAGCCTTCTCTCCAGTCGCCATCATGTCATCACTCTTCTTACTTTTACTCGGACTGAAGCTTTTGTCCTGCTTTTCACCGTTTTTTTCTTTTTTCTCTCTGTGCTGCAAGATCAGCAAGGAGGCAGAGGAGGCTTGGCATTTGCAAAGTGCCACCCTGGGAGCCCTTTGGCTCTCTTTGGCATCATTCAACCTTTTCAGTCTTTTGAAGCAGGTTGAATGCTTCAAAAGACTTAAATATGTGCCTGACAGAGGCAGGTCATGAATATAACAGATGCAAAAAAAAATCTGTTCTTTCTCCTCTTTTATGTGTTTAGCAGGTATGAAACTTGAGGACGTTTGGCTGTGGTCCAGCAGAGGGATTGAGTCTTTATCTTCAAATCACTTTCATTAGTGCCTTTATTAAAACTAGCAAGCTAGAACAGTGGATTTTCCTGTAACGCCATCAGTATGTTGGTAATGTGAACACTGGCCTACAAATGGCTTTGTAATTTACTCAAATATCCCAAATATTTTGGTACATATTTCAAACATGCTGTACAAATATCTCACATGAATGGGCTGGTGACACTTCTTTGTTGTTCTCGTCTTTTGTATCACCTCTGAGTTTTATGCAAACTGTATGTATACATACAGGGGTTWTAGACAATGAAACTGAAACACCTGGTTTTAGACCATAGCATCCCTTTCAGACAGCTTCCTCTTGCGTCCACAGTTTGTCCTGTTGGATGTGGTTGATCCTTCTTGGTGGTATGCTGACATTACCTTGGATACAGTGGCTCTTGACACATTACAAATACTTGCTGTCTTGGTCACAGATGCACCAGCAAGACATGATATTTTGAGCCAAACTGTGCTCTTACCCTGCTAATTGAACCTTCACACTCTGCTCTTACTGGTGCAATGTGCAATTAATGAAGATTGGCCACCAGGCTGGTCCAATTTAGCCATGAAACCTCCCTTAATAAACCAGGGGATTCTGATGTTATCAGTCCATGAAATGGACGTTATTAGGCATTATCAGTCCCATCCAATGGCTTCAGAGTGTCCCTACTGTGCCTTCTAGCCTTCAGACTGTGCGGACAGTGCCCCCTAGTGGGTTAATATACCAATTACAATGAATGTGTTAAAATAATAATTTATCCTGTCTGTGCCGGTTTCRAACCCTGATCTTCTGCTCACTGATCCTCTACCCATTGCCCCATCAGAAGGCCATAATATACAACCATTGGAGGGYGGTGTCTTTAGCGCTAACCATGTCATTTTCTCTAAAGTTGACCTTAGTGGTTTTATGCCTAATATTAACCAGATAGTGGCTTTATGCCTCATATTAACCAGCTGACAATCGGAAGCCGTTCTATGGGATGGGGGAACCTGCTAAACGGCACAGCCGGGACATTCTGAAGCCATTCTAGGGGACTGATAATGCCTAATAACGCCCATTTCCTGGGTGATAATATCCAAAGCGGGTGCAAAAAACTCATCTGCCTGAAGAAAGTCCCACACTTTGTAAAGTTTCCATCCTGCTCCTGCGTGMACTGAAACCCCCTGATGGCGGGACACGTGGTGACGGAGCCCGGCGACAGATATGATGGATGTTGTTTGTCTCTGTTCCTTCTAGAGACTCACGGTGAATACTGATGCTGGAAGACATGCTGGCTCTGATCTCTCAGGGCAAACATCAGGTGTGACATCAGGGTAAGCACTAACGGTTTGGACCTACAAACCTTCCAGCTTTTAAAGGAACTYGTTCAAAAAAGCAGAAGTTGGCTTTCTATTATGCATTTATATATGATCTTTGAGCAAATGTCAAACAAATCAGACCAAACAGAAGCAGAGTTTAGAATTATGTTGTATAACCCAAGGATAAACTTGCTTCTTCTTTTCTAGTGAACACTTTTTCACGAATCCAAATCCAAGCAGGAAACAGTGTGTTTGTATAATTTCATTGTCCAGATGTGCTTTATTTTCTCACCTCCACTTTGTGTGATGTAGCGCACCCACGGCAATGCCTGGTAACCACTCTTCTCTATAATTTTCAGGTATCGCACCTGGAGAACATGAAGATCTTCTTTYATTTTCCAACACAAACACATACAGTTTATTATTTGTAAAGCTCATTCACCTTAATGGTGCTAAAAGCAACATTTAGCGGGGCATTGTGTGTCTGCAGCCGTGTAAATTCGTGCATTTCCAAAATTGATGAGTACGTGTTTTATCAAACACTGAAACATCCACCTCTAAGATGAGGTCAGTTTAAGATGACCTAAAATCAACCATGGATCTGCAACACTGTATCTGAAAAAGTAATGTTGTGCAAAACGTACAAAAAAAGAGGATGCAGATCTCATAAACTCATTTTATTCACAACAGAATATATTAATGGATATTTAAACTAAGAAACAAAAAAAGCCTTTGAAWAAAATAAGGTCATTTGAAGGTTAGAACGGGAAGATGTACATCGCTGAGCAACATCCCCTTCTTACCTTCAACTCATCTGACCACAGGACCTTGCCACAGTTCATACAATGATTTACTACATCCATTGTGATTAAATACAGGTTTATTAGATTTGTAAACCAACACATTTGTTTTTATTTACATTTTACACAACAGAACAACTGAAAAGTTGTGAATACTTTTTTTTATTAAAATATTGGATTTTTAGGGTGGCAAATCATGTCCACTATGGTGTTTCCATTAAGTAAGTCCAAGTGTGTCCAGTACACATCCCAGATTTCAATAGCTGCTTTTCCATTGACCATGAAAATGCGCAAATTAGAATTTCGAAAATAAATTTGCTCAATGGAAACACGTCAATTTCGAAAACAAAGTATGTTTTTCGACTAAATGTTTTTACGCTAGGATGAGGTGGTTTTTCGGCCGTATTGAAATTGGTGGTTTTTGCAAAACTGCAATGGAAACACTTTTTTTGCATCACGGGAGTCACATGATCAACAACCGGCTGTTTCTACTGGTGAAAAAGATGACGATGAAGAAGATAACAGGAAGTAGAAGTAGTAGTAAAATCACAGAAGTAGTAAAAGAAAGTAGTAAACTCACCGACTACAATTTCCCAAAAACACAGCATACGTAGCCGCTCCCAATTAGGGGCTTGTCGCTGCAAAGCCTCGATAAGATGCCGACGTCTCCTCTGATGATGAGCGCTAATGTCATGGTAGCAATATGCTATGTGTTTACATCCATTGCTGCCATGTTTGTAATGACTTATTGAGAGAACAAACATATTCACGCGTGACTTTAACAGCATTTCTTACTTAATGGAAACACCATAGTGGCGAAACTGTGTTTTTCGGCATTAACAGAATATCGACAAAGTTTTGCGCACATTTGCAATGGAAAGGCAACTAATGTGTTTTACAGGTATTGCTGTGTTGGAAGATATAGAAGTAAAATCAAATACAGACACATTTTGCAGCTGCAACATAATTTTACAAACTACTAACTAGTGTTATGACTATAACAAATAAAGACAAATAGTGAAACAGTTATTAAAACAGCAACCTACCTGAATCCCAGACACAGTGAAATAAGGAATCTCAAAATTAACAGTGATGGGTCGCTTGGCCTCCAACTCGTCACTCTCTACGCTAGGTAGACCAAAGTGTGCTCGCATCATGTACTCCTTACCCCCCTACACAAACACAAATAGAACAAAGACGACACCACAAAATTACTGAAAATTTTCAGGTGACAGACCTGAGTCTGAGTCTTGTGTAAGGAACATCAGATGAGGTAATATCTCACTGAGCTGTGACTTTTGGAAACAAATCGGCGACTTAATGCAGAAAATTTGCAAGAAAAAGGTGTGAATCTCTTATTACAGTCTTGCTGAAATCTGACTGTTTGCGATCAAGCAACCGGTGAGCCATGTAGCTGCATTTTGAAAAGCCAGATTTATAATCTAAGGTCTATTTTCATGGGCACGGTTTGCAAAACTGCATTTTTGGCCATGCACGGTATTTTGTTGACCCCGCGTGTGAGAGTGATGCAGATTTTAAAAAGTGAACCTTATACCTTTCTAAAATTATTACATTACAATTGGAGATATGTGAACTTTTATTTTAGATTTAAGTTGGCTTTAGCCTGGTAAAAAACCAGCCCCTTGTTCTACTCTTTGGGTATTTTTTTTAACCTATTTTGAATGTGTTTTTTTAACGTGGAGCCTGTTAAAGATGATTTTCTGTCACCTTTGGGACAGACAATAAAGTCTGTCTGTCTGTCTGTCTGTCTGTCTGTCTGT